CAATTCTTTAGTTGTGGTTTTATGCAATCGCATTCATTCCTTAGTCATACAGATTTTAATGTACTAAGAAGTACATTTTGTAATTGTAAACTTTATTCATGCAGGGTGGCCAATTCAACAACGAGGCTGGTATCTGACAGGATCCCAGCCCTTTAAAATCATTTATCTGTTAAAAAAAATATTTTCACTATTCAAGAGATCATGTTTGCATGCACAAAAAAGAAAAGAAAAAAGAGAGGAGAAGAAGAGAAAGAGACAACAGCTACAGAAAAGAATGGCGAAAGCCAGTTGCATCGCGCTGATTAGTTATAGTGATGTAGTTTTCCCGCCAAAAATTGCAAACATCAATTGAAATCTCACTAACTATATCGATTAGTAAAGCATGATTCCTTTTAGAAACAAGTATCAGTTAGTATCTATTTTAAAATAATAATAATATTAATAAATGCATATATAAATAATAGAAGCCAATTATTTTTCTTCATCCATCCCTTAACAGCTGTACAACAGTTTGACTTACCAGAGCTAATGCATTCATCTCGTGGATTATGTGTTCCACCTTGCATGGACTATCCGGCACTAACGAAGCCAACATCTTACGACAACTTGAGCATATACCTAAAGGACATTGTATACGTCACAAACCATAAGTAAAAACGGACAAATTATGCATTATTCCTTACCTGAGCCAACTTGCAAAAAGATACCAGTTTTTTTCATTATGTATTTAGAGTTGTCTTTGCCGATCCCCCTTTCGGCCCTCGGGCCTTTAAACTTGGCGTGTTTCGAGAGCACCGGAGGCTACTCTGCCACGCCACCCTAATCCAAGTCTCGCTCGATGTAGAGGACAAATAGTCCAACTGTGAATGTCCTCCGGTAAGTTAAAAACTGCTGCTCTACTAAGAATTAAATCTATCTCGTTTTCTACGCCAGMGAATTGATAGTAAGATTTGTGTGCTGAAATGTCGCTTTCACATGACTGCAATGGGACGACCACAGTACCTTGCTTTTTGTCTTTTGTATCAAAACCACATTCACCACCAATACGTGATTTAAACGAGCAAGAAATCTCCATCTCTAACTTRAACAACACARTGACAACTCTAAAGGAATCTCATCGGTACAACCTGTCTCTGTTGTAAACATAAACACGTGAGCTGTCACTTTCAGTTACACCGCTAATGATCGTACAAAAAAAATTCTAATCTGATCCTGGTGATTCTGGTGATAAAGAAAGAAAAAGAAGAAAAAACAACAACACAATAGAAAGTATTTCGTTAAAGTCTGTATGGGGATAGTTTTAGTGTTGGTAATGATGAAATATGACTGCCATAAACTGATTTGTAACTTTAAAATCATGACCCAGAAGTGCTAATTGAATGTCTCGCCGAAGGCTTTTAGGAATTGCAAATGAACTGAAAGTTCAAGGTAAACAACTTCAAGTACCGTTCTGTTTTAGAATGAGCCTGTCAATATTATTTGTATTCTAGAAAAAAAGTTTTAAATTCGAGACTTCTTTAGTTTTGATAGCTAATTTAGTACATAATATGCAAATTAGTTGATCAAGCCGATTGATAAAATTCGTGAATTTCTTACAACTTTAGGACCGTAACGCATCAAGCAAATCCATTTCCCCAAACAAATTTCAATTGTTTCTAAAAGATTATCATTTCTACTTTAGTTTGATGTGTTTTTCAGCAAAAAAAAATTATCACCATATGCAATAAGTACATATTTTGTAAAGCATATTTTCAGACAAATTTTTATATCTCTATATATCAAATTTAGTAAAAAATTGAAATTACTTTCAAAATGCCTGAAACTTTGTCAACTGTCAGCTAATATACTGGTTAAGGTTTCCATGAAATATTAGAGCTCTAGGTATTTTTTCAGGATCAATATTTACCGTTAAATTTGGGTCATATTATTAGGTGAAAATTAACGGAATGTGACAGTTTAAACTTTTCCTCGATTTTCTCTGAAACTAAGTCGTATTTCTCTAAACTAACTACATGGCATTTATTCTTACATTAGTGCCTACCTATGGTTTAAATTAGAGCTAAATCGATTTTTCGACCATTGCCGCGAATTAACGATTATCTTTGGTTTTCCCTGAATGCCCCTCTTAAT